GCCTCGGGTGGAAAAGCTGGTGCCAGTCACGTGTTCGACCTCGGACCCCTGGTTACCAATCGCTCCTGGGTCGTCTTCGGCGGTCATCAGACGGCTTTCGGCGGTCTTTGTCGGTCTTCGGCGATCTCCTGGCGGTCTTCGGCGGACTCTGGCGGTTTGTGGCGGTCTGAGGCGCGAAAGCTGGATGGCTGCTCTCAACGGGATCTATGATCGAACACCCGATTCCCGGAAAGGGGACCAGACCTGTGGGGGGGCACGTCGCGCACAGAATCACGGTCGGAGGTCTGGCTTTGGGACGGCAGGGAAGGGCTCCGCGGAGTGGGATTGCTACCAGCCAGTGCCCGCCGGGTCGCAGCTGAGCGACGAGAAACAACTGGTCCTACGCGAGAAGGCATAGCGTCCCTGCGCCGCGGCGTACGCGCGGGCCGCCAGCGTGGCACAGCGCGTGGAAACGAGAGCGCTCACGCGCGACCTTACGCGGGCAGCTCACGCGCGAATGTCGGCCGAGCCGACCCTGTTTTTTTAAGTGGCTCATCTGGGCTTTCTGGGGGCTGCAAGAAGGCTACAAGATGCCGCCGGATGGCCCCCAAATGGTTCCAAGATGGCCCCCGATGGTCAAATCAGATTCTAAACGCGTGCCAATGGTCAAGGCGGGCCGAAGACGGCTTAACTCCGGAGATGACCCCGCTACAGCAGAAGGGGGAGGCCCTATAGAACCCCCATAAGGCTCACTTGATGATTTCCCTGTAGCTTTGAATTTCTATTGTGTTTTCAAAACGTCGGTGACGGCCCAGGATGCCCCCAAGATCGCCCCAAGACGGCCCAAAGGTACCCGAGAAGGCCCAAAGTGGGTCCCGAGGGAGCCTCAAGAGGGTCACCAGACACCCCAAGAGGGCCCGCATACACCCCAAGATTGCCCCTCAAGAGGCTCCAGACGGCCCAAATGGGACCCGGAACAGCACAAGAGGGCCCCAAGACGCGCCAAAACGTAGGGACGCCAACATGGCCCCAGGAGGGGCTCAACACATGCCCAAGAGCGCCCCAAAAATACCCCGCAACGACACTCAGAGATCCCCCTTGACAAATGTCGAACACATACCTTTGACCATTCACTGAATCCAGCATGAGCGTGCTGGTTTCCCAGTGGGGCGCCCTCCGTGAAGCCCGATCTGCGGGCTCAATAGGTAGAAGCGGGCAGTGACAACTATAAACAAGCAAATCAAGCGGCAGAAGCTGAGGATGTCCTGCCGCACACACGTCGGCAAAGTACGCACGGCTCCCCATGCTGGACACCACCTCCACTTTACTCAATTTGCGAAATGCTGGCCACAAACAACGCCACCATGCCTCATCCTCGAATGCTGCTGTTGATGCTGCTGCTCGCGCCACAGGATGATCAGCCCCTTGGTGTGCCTGTTGGCTTTGAGTGTTTGCTTCTGGGAAAGTGTTCTTCGTCCGTCAGAGTTGCGCAGAGGCTCTGCCGTCTAGTAGTGCGTAGGTATCTGTATACACAAATGTTTGCAGTTTACATTTACACATATGCAGATGCATGTGCAGGTGTATACCTGTAGAATTAGCTGCAAGAAGACAGGCAGAGGGTCTGACATGGGGCGAAGTCTATCTGAGAAAAGAGAAAAGAACTGCAGCCATCGCAACACACACGAGCGCCCGACTCCGTATCTCTTGCCAATGCGTCGACAAGACGGACGGGTACGACGATGCCTCGCAAAGCATGCAGCGGAGGTGGACATTTGCGCGCTCGCCGCTTTCGAGCTGTTAGTCACGTCCCGAGATGACCCCCGACCCCCGACGGCACCCACGGGAATCCCTGGCGGGCGGGGTGCCCAGACCGGGGGTGAGGGTGAGACGTCGGCGGCCGCCCATGCTGGCTCTCGAGCGTGGGTCGCTCCCCATACCCATCGGTCGGAAGAAGTAGGTAGAAACATGGAATGGGAAGGCGCTGAAAATACATTGGGATCCGTCCGCCCCCTAAGGAGGACGGAAAAAAGCCACTCGATCATTGAAGTAGGAAAGCGGTTAGAGTAGATTGGGATCTGGGAATCCACAAATTCGCCGGCCCAACGGGCTAGAGGCGTGCTAAGATCTCCGGTAACTGGTTAACAATATTCTACTTCGCGCGCGCGGGGCGGTCCCTGGGGGTCTCCGGGCGAAAAGTACCCCGGCAAGGTCCCGGCAGGTCCGGTTCGACACCCCTCACGAGGATCGGGGCCTCCGAGGGGGGGAGCCGCAATCGACTACCCCCCCTCCCGCCCCAAGAGGCCCCCAAGAGCCCCCCAAAAGGCCCTGGGGGCCCCCAAGACGCCGCCAAGGAGCCCCAAGAGACTCCCAGGAGGTCGCCAAGAGGCCCTAAAGAGAACTCCAGGGCAGGCGGAATGAGCGAAGCGATGAAATAACTACTTTCAACGACCGATGGGTCATCTCACCCCCAGTCGCAGCACCCATTCGACAAGTCCGCCTCACCCCCGTGGTGGTCGGGGGTTGGGGGGTGGTGTCATTTCGGGTGACAAATTTACAAAACCTCCTGGCTGTAGTGGAGGCGCACCCTGATGGCTTCCATCCTCACTCAAACCATGCGCCGTTTGGCGCGTGGGCGGGAGAAGAATCGGCCACGGGATAGGTCACGGAAATTCCAATCGAGAGCACGACGCCGCGTCTTCTGCACTGCGCCGTTCGGAGGATCCAGGATGCAGAGGAGCGGAATGAGAGCCTCAGACCCGCGCTGAGGGCATAGCCGCTGGGACTGCAAGACGCGTGCCGCGTAAAATTTGACTGTAGCAAGCACGGTCCCGGCCTCGCTCGAACTCACAATTCATGCACTGCCAGCAGATATTAACAAATCTAGCACGGTCTCATGACGGACACACCAACTTTCAGTGCGGCCTTATTTGACCCGCCACTGCCAAACATGTTTGATTCATCGGAACGCTGATGAAACGCACAACGCCTTCCGTTAATGCGCTCTCGAGGGAAGAAAAAACACAGCGACGACGGGCACAGGGAGGCCCAACCACGCAAACAAATATTTGCCGATCTAGGTCTGGCCAGGGTGCTCGGCCAAGCGCGCCACGTTCATGACAAGGCCATGCTAAACACCGACCCGCTCGTTCGAACAAGATAATGGAGTCGAAATAAGGAGTTGGAATCCGGGGTCGGATCGAATCGACATCGATTCGAATCGACAGAGTCGAATTATCTCCTGCAGGAGGCAAGAGGCGTGCAAGATGCTTGGCTATCCCCTCCCTCCACCTATGCCCCTTCCCTGTTGAGGGATGGGGGGGTGGACGCATTCCCGCCACCCAGCATTGTTCTCCGCAGCGCTCAGGCTCGTGACCTCAGTAGTGTGGCGACGTCCCGAACAACGGCCTTATCATGGCCAAAAAGGTCTCCAGTGCATCCCGAGACAGCCGAACATGGCCTTTTACACTGCTAGAACCAATCGGCGATGGAATGGAGGAGCCTGGAGCGTAGCAAAGGTCACAGAGAACACCAGCGTGATCGTGTTCGCCTCGTCCAGCGAGAACCAGAATGTGCGGGCGGTGAATGCAACGCGCCTTGAGAAATCAGTCAGCGTTTGTGGTCGGGCCGCCCGGTCCCATGAAGTGAAGAATGAGTGAGGAGAGATGCGAGCAGCGACAGACGAGGAAGAACAATGCAATAATCAAGAATGGGGTCCTGATTCAAACGGCGCCCTGAACCCCAGGAGTTGTCCCCTGAAACACCCGTTCATTATCAACCATTCTTCGAGACGGCCCTGGATTCCACGAAAGGCCGCGGGATACCGAAATGGCAAAATGAAAATCCAGGACCCGCTTCCCTCAGGGTCCCTTTCCTTGATGTCCGAATGTCGAGTATCATTGCCCGGACCTGTCCCGTGGTGCGCAGAGAATCCACTTGCTGACGCAACCCGAACACTCCTGGAGGCACAACATTCGGATTAGGAAGGGCATGTTCCCATACAGGCGGATTTCTGACGAAAACTGAAGAACCTAAGAAAATGAGCAAAAACAGTCAAACATATCAGAAAAGTCATACCCTGACTATGTTTTAAACTATTTTTGGAGATTCCCACTGTAGAGGGACATGCCCGACTTAACATGAGGGAAGAACATCCAAGAGCATCCAACATCGAACCTCGGGAACCCCTTCCTAGAAGACTCCTGGATGGGGTCCAAGCAGATGGGATCAAAAGATCGCACCGCATCGCCGATACATCGGCGATGCATCGGCGACGTCGGCGGGGTATCGGCGGGCCCCACATCGAGCCGCACCGCCGATGCTTTGGCGACCTGGCGTGATCCCTCGAACCAATCTCAGATGGGATCGAAGGATCGAGCCGAATCGCTTTAACATAATTTCCACCTGATCTCGCGCAATCGTTTTTTGATAGTTTCCAGGGTCCATGTTTTAATTGTTTCAGGTGCCCGCTGTTGGCTCACAAGACACGAAAGCTAGAAACCGGAAAGAAACGCCCAGGTTCCAAGACACACTAAGCCCATCTGAGAACTTCCAGCCTCGAACCTCAGGATTACCTTCCTTCATGGCGAGCGGCAAGCGGCGAGCCCGGGGGGGAAGTGAGAGGGGGCAGGCCTTCTCAGAAGGGCTTCTCGGAACCCCCGCTGCCTTCGGCGGAGCAGCCTCGGTCTTCGGGGAAAAGCTTAGAAAGCCTCTCCGAAGGCCGGAGGCCTTCGGAGTCCTCTGAGCGGACCCGCCCCCTTACATCGGGAGCGGCCAAGAGGGAGGGGGGTCCCCGAGGGGGGGGTGCAAATCATGACCGGCGGCATGTGCGCGGCCCAGCGGGGGTCCAGGGACGTAATGAAACAAGAAGAGGCGCCATGAAACCTGGGGAGATACCATGGCCCCCGCCATGATATCCACCCCTCCCTGGTCATCACCCCCCTCTTTGCCGCCCCCGATTCTACGGCCCCCCCCGGGGCTCGCGCCGGTCATGACGAGAGGCGGAGAAGGAGGCAAGCGGCGGCTCACGCCACCACATCCGCTGCGGCGCCTAGGGCGCCTCGCCTGCGCGCGTGCTCCCTCTCGCTGATGGCCTGCCGGGCGGGGCGGCCGACGGAGGGGGCCGCCAGGCGCGGAGGAGAGGGGGGGGGGCAGAGGCCCACCATGCGTCCAGCGCGCCTTGCAACCATCCAGCTGGGACTCCTGTCGCCGTGTTCGGCCTCTCGGGTCGGGCGAACGGGGGGGATAGCAAAGGGGGGGTTTGAGAATCAGCTCAGGTAGCTGATTTTCCTGGCGCCTCCCGGCGCTGGAGGCGGCTATGTATCGAGGAATGGGCCCCTCGGTGAGGCCGAAACCAGCTGCATGCAGCAGATTTCGTAACCCCCCCTTTCCCAATCCCCCCCCTTCGCCCGGCCCGAGCCTCCTGGGGGGGGCCCTCCCGGGGCTCCAGGCACGATCTCCGAGACACCCGGCGCCTTGCTGCGTCCAGGGCGTTGCTCTCCGCCGGTCTCGTCCACTGGTGGAGCTCGCGAGGCCCCAGCTCACGGCAACGCGGGCCAACATGGGGAGCAGGGTCAAGTCGGGCGTGTCCCCCTGCAGGGGGATTTTGGACGAAGAATAACAAATACCCAGAAACATACAGAAAAGATGCCCAAAAATAGTCAAAGTATAGACCCCGGACTATTTTTGGACTACTCTGGAACATTCCCCCTGTGGAGGGACGGGCCCGACTTAAGAGTAGGGTCGGGACGGACGCACGGACCGACTGACAAACACAGCCGGACCACGGAGGTCTGGGAGGGCCGGGGGAGGGAGGCGGGAGAGGGAGGAGCAGCAGCAGGCGCAAGAGACGGCCCCCAGATGGAGAACAGCGAACACAACTCCTCCTCCTCCTCCACCTCCTCCTGCTCCTCCTCCTTCTCCTCCTCCTCCTCCAGGTCCTCTTCCTCCTCCTCCTCCTCCTCCTCCTCCTCCTCAAGTCCTCCTCCCTTCCTCCTCCCCCTCCTCCTCCTCCTCCTCCTCCTCCTCCTCCTCCTCCTCAAGTCCTCCTCCTCCTCCTCCTCCTCCTCCTCATCCTCCCCCTCCTCGCCCGACGTCGGAGAAGCGGGCCTCCAGCTGCCGCATCGACGCGAGGTACGCGCCCTTGGCGGCGCGCCCACGCCGGGTCAGCCTATGCGGACGAACGTGCAAAGGTGGGGCAGGGGCAGAAGTGGGTCTACTCAGAGAAAAAATCGCCCCGAACGACCCCTGGAGAGAAATCGATCATTATCAAGCCGCAATCCGGAGATGGGCACAAGATGATCGATTCTTTCTCCAGGGCACGATGCCTGGCAGCATCTGCTGTCCCAAACCGATGACGGCCGCTGCTGGGCGGGCGACCATCTGCCTCAAACGGACCACGTCCGTGGCGGCACCGACACCGAGCCCCACTCAAAGTGGACAAGAACTGCTCTCGGCGGTCGTCCCCCACTGCTTCCATACCCACCTAGACCGTGCTTCGCCTTGGGCCAAGCCTCCTTCTACACCCACTGGAAATGCAATACAACTTTTGGAGCTCGTGTCGAAGAAGCGTCCAGGGACCATCCTGGGGGTATGTTTTCATCCTGGGTGCGTTTCTGACGGTGTCAGGGCTTTAAAACAGCCCTGGCCCAAGCAGGCCACAAACGACGAAAAGCCAAAGGTGACGACAACAAAATACCGGTGAGCAAGATTGCATGACTTGTCTAGGAAAGTGCACAATCCGATTTTGATTGAAGCCCCGACGGTGCACTGCATCTCTCATCTCTCCGCTCCGCCTCTGGTCCCATCGTGAATGTTGCTCGTTCGATGCTGCACCATAGGTGGTTTGGCCCGAAGTGTCCTCAGAGGGCGAAGCGCGTAGCCTCCTTCTCTTATCGCTTGAGTCTCGATCCCGAACATACTACTTACCCAAGGCAGACCGGATTTTTCCGCTACGCGGTCCCTGGATGTCCCGACCCATTCCCTGGGGCCGGCATGCCGTCTGATTTTTCGTGACGCGAGCATGTCTTGGCCGGTATCACCTGCCAGCCCCCGACGGAACTGCGAAGGAATATCGGGTCGGGCGAAAGGGTGGGATAGCAAAGGGGGGGGGTGAGAATCAGATCGATCACGTAGCTGATTTTCCCGGCGTCTCCCGGCGCCAGAGGCGGCCATGTATCGAGGAGTGGGCCCCTCGATGAGGCCGAAACCAGCTGCACGCAGCAGACTTCGTAACCCCCCCTTTCCCAGTCCCCTCCTTTCGTCCGGCCCGGTATCATCTGACAGCCCCCGACGGAACTGCCATGCAAGGAATACTTGCTAGCCAGCGGCCGCACGAGCATCAGCCAGCGGTCGCACACAGCGGCGGGGCGCGCCGGGGCACAGCCAGGGCACGACGGGCGGGGCGCGAAACACGAGGCGAAGAGACACGAGGCTCCCATGCTCTTACGAAGGGGCCCTGGGACACACAAATAAATACAAACAAATACAAATATTCCCCGTATGTTCCTATATTTTCTGGGTTTTTGTCTTCATATGTTTCTATCTTTTCTTGGGGACCGACGCTTAATTGTGTCTGTGTGTTTTTTCCCCCCCAGATTTTAGAGACCCCCTAAGTGGGGTCCGAGTAAATGGGGTCGGAGGATCGCGCCGCATCGCCAATGCATCGGCGATGCACCGGCGATGCACCGGCGATGCATCGGCGATGCACCGGCGATGCATCGTCGACGTGGGCGATGCATCGGCGACGCCGGCGTGGAGAAAATCGGGCTCCCCATCGCACCGCATCTCGGATTCATCGGCGGTGCGGCGCGATCCCCCGGTCCCATCTACTCCGACCCCATCTAGGAGGTCTGGGATTTGCGTACCGAACCATGACGTCGACCCCAAGAGGTTTCGACCTATTCCCCAGGACTAGCTTGTCATCCTGGGTCGTTTTTTGACGGTCCCGAGGCCCGGTGAGGGGCCCCACAGGGCGACAAGGGCAAAAAAACCTCCCGTCGTGATTTTCGCACTGCTCGAGGGGGGCCTGGGAGCCTGTCTATGAGCTCCTGCTCCCGGGCCAGGCCGGCGTGGTGGCGCTGCAGCGCCCGGAAGCAGGCCGCGAGCTCCTCCGCCGCCGGGCCGCCGTGGTCCACGCGGCGCGGCGCCGCCTGCCCGGGAGGTGGGCGCCGTGGTCCGCGGGCCGCCCCTGGAGGCCAGGGGCCGGCGGCGAGGGAAGTTTCCGGGCATCGTTGACTGGCCTCGAACGCATCCCTATCCCTAAGATTATAACAAAGCATGAGTCGACGACAATCTTAGGGATGCGCCCTCAGAAACGGAGGGCATCGAGATGAGGCGATGCCAATCATAGGGATAGGGATATGTTCCAGGCTGGTGAATCGGTGAACCGATCCCCATCCCCACGGGCGTGGCCTGGGCCGCACTGGCCTGGGGGCTGGCGGCGAGGGAAGTTTATCGTTGAACCGATCCCCATGCATCCCCAAGGGTCCAGGGTTTGGAGGGTTTCTCCGACGGGCTCGGGCGACCCGTGCTGTCCTATATCTCTCCTCCCTCCTCCTCCTCCTCCGAGGGGCATGTCCCCAACTGCAGGGTGGCGAGATGGTGGGGATCTGGACGGGGATGGAGAAGGGGATGGGGATCGGTTAAACGATGCTGAGTTTCCCAGAGGTGCTCGCGTCGTGTTCAAGCAAGGCCCAGAGGAAGGTGAAACACACGTAAACAGAAACCCTCGACGCTCCGAGCGGATTCCTTGGATTTGCGCGGGGCCCCCCTCCCTGGCGCGCGGAGCGCGCCAGGGGCGGCGCCGGAGGCGCCGCCAGGGGGCCCCAGCGCAGATCCAAGAAATCCGCGCGGAGCGTCGAAAGTTTAGGTTTGTTTTTTCTTCTTCGACAGGCGGGAGAGGATTCGCCGTTTTCGGACTCTGGGAGCCTATACCAGGCCCCGGGACGGTGAGAGAACGACTCGGGACGAAAAGCTGGCCCCGGGGAAAGTGTCGGGACTTCTGGGGACCCCGCATTGAAACAATCAAGATGTCGCATATCTGGGATGAGAGTTTCGGGATCGAATAATCGCCGGTTCTCGGCAAATTCCCAGCCTCGGGGTGCTGGGGGTGCCGGAAGCGTACCGAACAGCAGCCGGAAGCCCGAGCTATGGCCCGAAAACTGATAGCTCGGGCATGCGCCGCCGAAGAGGGGAAGAGAGGAGGCGGGCGGGACTTCTCAAAGCCCGCAAGCCTTCTGAGAAGCCGCCTCTGCCTTCGGAGAAGGTGTAAAAAATGACCTTCTCAGACGGCGGCGGGCGGGGCGTCTCAGAAGGCGGCGGGCGGGGTTTCTAAGAAGCACGCAGGCCTTCCTGAGAGGCCGCCTCGGCCTTCGGAGAAGGCGCAGACAGCTTCTCGAAGGGCGCGAGGCTACTGAGAAGCCCCGCCGCCTTCCGAGAAGCCCCGCCCTTTCTCGCTTGCCCCCAGATCAGTCGCCGCAGGGGGTCTGGGAGGGGGTCGATGTACCCTGTGCCACATTGGGCCGGCCAGGGAACTCGGTGTACACACGGCCCTGCTGCGGAGCCTGTTTGACGCCTCAGCTTCTGCAGACCGAACTCCTCCGTTGAGCTCATCGGCTTCTTGGCTGGCCAAACGACATGGTGTATGCATCAAGTCCCTCGGAGGGGGGGCGGCTGGACAGGGTCAGTCTTACAAGCCGCCAAACGGGGTCCGAGCAGATGGGGTCGGAGCATCGCGCCACATCGACAATGCATCGGCGACGTCGGCGCTGCACCGGCGACCTCGGCATGGACAACAATCGGGCTCCACATCGAGGCGCATTGCAGATGCATCGACGGTGCGGCGCAATCCACAGACCACGCCTGTTTCGATCCCCCTTGGGCGACGTGTTTTTTTTGATCTAGGATTGATTATAACGGGTGCTGGAGGAGGGGGCCTGGAGCCCAGATCTTCGACGACATGATCTGTTCAACTGTTCTCGATTTGGACTTCCAGGGGCCGTGAATTATTCGGGCCCCAATGCCATCAAAATAGAATACGGGACGGACAACCTTCCCGTGAAGGGGTCAAGATCTCCGTGGCCACGGATTGAAGCCACATCGTCGGATATCTGACATGTGCTTCGCCGATGTCTAACCCCACGGGCTCTCAACGGGCCCAGATGCCGTCCAAAAAAGATTCGGCAAGAAGAACTCAGGCGGGCGGCATTAGGGATCATACCGCAGTTCGGCCAAAGACATACCCTCCGAAGGTCGGCCGAACATCGGGCCGATGCCGAATACAACGGAAAAATCGCGCATCAAGCAAACAGGAGATGTGTACCTGGTGCAGCGTGGGTATACAAGGCAAATCACGCAGAAAACGAGTCCCTCCAGCTCAGACAGGGCCTCCCGATATATTGTTTGCGTTCAGTCCCGATCCACGGCGCGCGGGAAAAGCCAAACAGACTTTCCAGCCAGAGGGCAGACGTCACAATCAACAACCCAGACATACGATGTCTTGATGGTGTGCAATGCCGAATCCCAAGAAATTGCGACCACTTCCCCAAGGCCAAGTTCTCATCCCGAACTGTTCTTGATAATCCCAGGAGCCAGGAACGGCCTTCACAGGCCGAAAACAAAAGACACCTCCGTCTTGGGCTTGTTCGGTGGTGCCATCCAAGCCCTCCCCCCACCAACCATCGACTCTCCTGAATCGCTGGGAGGCGGGGGTAGGCTCCGGATTTCGCCACGTGCTCGACGAATCCTGAACCCTACCCCCGCCGCCCATCGAGTTGCCTGAACCGTTGATGGGCGAGGACCGGGTTCGGACTTCGCCTCCGATGTGTCAAGGCGTTGGCTGCCTGGGAGCCCGAGCGCCCCCACACGGGCCGATGCTGCAGGGCGGTCTTGCTTCGCACCCCGAGCTGTGCTTGACGATCCAGGACCTCAGAGAACGGCCTCCACCGGCCGGCCGAAACCGGAGAAACATCTCCGTCTTGAGTTTGCCATGGCGTGGCATGCGTCTCGGAGTCCGAGCGCTCCCGGCACAGGCCTGTGCTGCGGGGCGCTCTTGCCTCACGTCCGTCGGGAGGCTCTACAGCCTTGCCGCGACGGGCCCCCCCCCCGCCCCAGGTCCTTCGGCCGGGTGCGCCGGAGAGGGGGGCGGTGTAAAGGGCCCCGGGGAGACACAAATGAATATACACAAAGTTCAAGGACTTCAAATATTTTTCAATATTTCCGGGATTTGAGTTTTCCCTTACCCTCCACTGCCCATTATTTCAAATGATTCCTTTGGAAGCGACGTTTTGTAGCGTGTGTCTGTTTTTCCTTGCGCTGGCGCAAGGCGGCCAGAGGCATTTGCGCGGACGATGGGGGGGGGGGCAAAGGCACGCTGAACGCAGAAATCACGAGCGGCGAGCATATCCGTGTCCGCGCCCTCGCGGTCTGGACTCTGGGGCGCGATCACGCGGATGCGCGGTCGCGCGGATACGTTCCGTGCGGGGCATCCGCGACAAAACGCTCTCCGCAACCGCGGGGTCGCGGCCTAGGGGCCCGGCCCGCGATGCCGCGGATGCAGACATGTTCTTCGCCCATGAAGAAGACCCAGACCCCCGACGTCATGATTTTTTGATGACGTCGACCCCCAGAGTTCTTGACCCCTTCCCTGGGACCGGTTTCTCACCCTGCGTCGTTTTTGGACGGCCCCGAGGCCTGGTGAGGGCCCCCAGAGGCCGAAAATTAGGAAAAAGGAAAAGCCTCCCCTCTTGACTTCTGCCATGACCCGAGGGGGGTTTGGGGAGGGGGACACGAGATCCGGGAGACGCTCGTCACCCCCCTTCGGAAGGAAGCCTCCCTCCAGGCTCCCGGGGAAGCTCTACCCGAGAAGCCCCCGGGCCCTTCCGAGAACCCTCTCTCGGAAGGCGGCCCTCCTCGCGCCACCCGCGCCTGCACGCCGCGGGGGGGGGGGAGGAGGGTGATGGGCCCGCTTTCCACGACCACTACCACAAGTAGGGGGGAGGGGGTCCTCCTCCTCCTCCTCCTCCTCCTCCTCTTCTCCTCCTCCTTCCTCCTCCTCCTCCGCTTCTTCCTCGTCATCCTCCTCCTTCCCTTGCCCTCGAAACGTCGGAAGACAGGCCCGTCAGAGGGGCCACGTGATCCAGCGTCCGCTCGGTCGCGTGCGAAGTGTTGACAGCTGGGCTGCGGCTGCTGGTGCTGCCCCCCCTCCCGCGCGCTGCGCGCCTCCCTCTCGCCCTTATCCCGCTGCTCGAGGCCCCCTGGATTGGGTCGGAGTAGATTTGGCGGCGCGCACAAGGGGGTGGAGGGAGGGGGGATGGCTTCTCAGCAGGAGGCTGCTTCTTAGAAGGCGCTGGCCTAACATCTATAGATTAGGTCCGCGCCTTCTGCGAAGCAGGGGTGCTTTTAAGAAGCCCTCCCCCTCCCCCCACCTCCCTCTGCGCGTGGCTGATAGGTGGGGTCGGAGGGTCGCGCGGCATCGTCGATGCATCGCCAACGTCGGCGACGCATCGGCGACGCCGGCGCAGCGAAAAGCGGGCTCCGCATCGAGCCGCATCGTCGATGCATCGCCGATTCATCGGCAATGCGGCGCGATCCTCCGACCCCATCTGCTCCGACCCCATCTAGGAGGCCTGGAGTTAGGTCGGGTATGTCCCCCTACAGGCGGGTTTTGGACGAAAAAACAAACAACATCCCACACATCGAAGCATCGCCCCCATGCAACTCTTGCTGCTATTTGTGGAGGTTGCCCCTGCAGAAGCCCAGAGTTCCTCACCCTCTATCCTCCCCTCCCCCTCCCCGCCCTGGGGCGCGACGCCTCAGAGGAGGAGGAGGAGGAGGAGGAGGAGGAGGAGGAGCAGGAGGAGGAGGATCTATCCTTCCCTCCCCTATCCTTCCCTCCCCCTATCCTTCCCTCCCCCTATCCTTCCCCCCCCCCCCCCCCCCCAGAGTTTCTCACCCTCTATCCTCCCCTCCCCCTCCCGCCCTGGGGCGCGACGCGAGCCACGCCGTGCGACGCCCCCGAGGTCCGGGTCGGGGGCCGTTCGCCTGCCGACGTGCGGAGGCCTGGGAGGGTTCTCGCTGCCGCGGGCGGAGTCCCAGTCTGGGGGCCCCGACGCACGGGCAACATCGAGACCGGGGGGGGGGGAGGAGGGGGTTGGAACCTCCAGTGACCCCCCCCCCACCTGGTTTTCGAGAGGGGGGGGGGGCGGGTTGGAAACCCCCAGTGACCCCCCCCCCGTTTTCGGACAGCAGCAAGAGAACACGCTCTTTCCAATCTGGTGACCACGACGTCCGGCAACATCGAGAACCATCGGGACCCATAGCCCCAGGTGAGCGTTTTCGACAGTGGGCGGAAGGGGGGGGGGGTCTGGCTCTGGACCTCTGCTTAGTGCGACTGTTTGCAGCAGTGCGTCCTGTGGGGGAGACTCCACCTGCCTGAAAAAAGGCGTCAAAAACAGCCAAGATCCTCTCCATTGGGGGATGGGGAGGGGAAGGGTGCGAGGGCCCGCGCCGATCGGCAAAACAACGAATAAGAAATCGATCACTAGACCCCATCTTTCTGCTGCATGTTTCGAATCATATCGATGTGTGATAGTTCCGGGGCCCGAAACCAGGGCCGAGCAAACAATGCAACGCCTGGATCTGACGGGGGTCCTCACCCCCCGCCTCGACGCCCCTGACTGCGGGGCGCCCAACCGACCAGGGCCGACGCCTCGCGGAACAACGGCTTCGCGGAGTCGAAAGCCACGCCGTGCTCCCCGCGCATCCTGGCGTACAGCCGCTCGAACCGCAACACGCGCCTCCTGTGAGGGGGGGGGGCGTAGCGGGGGGTGAGAATGGGAGGCCTCCCAAATGGGATCCAGTAGATGGGGTCGGAGAATTGCGCCGCATCGCCGACACATCGCCAATGTATCGCCGATGCATCGGCGATGCATCGACGATGCATCGGCGACGTCCGCGATGCAGGGCGATCCTCCGAATCCACCATCTGGGAGGCCTATAACTATGCAGGATTAGTCAGCATCGAATCGTGCGAGGCGGGCATAATCCATATCCATCGCCTGGAGGACCGACTTCCTGGGACCCCAGCAGGTGGTGGGCAGAGGGATAGAGAGAGAGAGAGACCTACATACATACGTATATATGTATACACACATATCTCTATGTATATGTACACGTATAGATCTGCACACACGTACGGGGTGCAGGGGCCCGGATCTATCCATAGCCACCGTCTGCCGAGGTCCCCGAAGAACTATCCTCCAGGCGATGGTGATGGCTGAATCCCCGCCTGGTGGTAATCGGGAAAACAGGTCGAATCGGAATGCGCGTCGGATCTGGCCGCATCGACACGGAGTCGAGATCGGATCATCGGCTGCGCCAAGATGCTCATCAAAGCCATGCGAGCATCGGGCGGTAGATTAGCCGTCGGAGTACCAGAAGCGAATCGGATCGGGCCAGCCAGATTCGATATCGAATCGCATCGATTGGATCGAAATGAGCCCTGCTTTGGGGGTCATTCGACAGAACAATATATCTTAGGCTGAACTCGGGGATGTAAGATGGAGGAGCGCCCATCCTCGAGAGTGGAGGACGTCCGAGCTTTCCCTTGTTTTATAAGCTGCCATCTCAGTGGAGGGGAAACTCGGGGATTGGGGTCAAGAAACCGTGGTGGCGCGCACTGGCGAGTGGCGCGAGGGGGGGGTGACCTTCTAAGAAGGCGGGCGGGGGGCTTTCAAAAAGGCGAGGGGAAGCTTCTGGTCCGTTCATCAGAGAAGGCCCCTGCCTTCTTACCCAGGCCCCCGACATGGTGATTTGCTCATAACGTGGAGCCCCGAGGTTCGGGCGGGTGGTAATGGGGGGTGACCTCAATTGGGGATGAAGAAGAGGCCCTGAAGAGGCCACTTAGGCCTCTTTCCGAGCCAGCAGGGAACCTACAGGGCCCCCTTTAGGGCCCTATTTCACCCCCATGTGGGTCCCTCCTCGTTACCACCCGCCCGAGAGGTCTGGACCCCTTCCCAGGGCCCGGCGTTTTCCCAGGGGGCCGTGTTTGTGACGGCCACAAGTCCCAATGAAGGCCCCCAGATGTAGAGAACGATCAAACACCTTCCGTGGTGATTGTCTTCACAACGCGGAAATTGGTCAGCGAGCCGCGATCCTGTAGCGCGCCCTCGCCTCTGCAGCGAGCGTCTCGAAGCAATTCACCTCTTCGCTGGCCCTATTCATCCTCTGAGGGACAACGATGGGGGGACGTGCTCAGGGGGGGCATCGACCTGGCATCGGGTATACATGGCCGATAGATCAGCGATAGAGCCCCGAGAGCGAAACGAGACGTTCCTGGGCGGGATTGGCTGTCGGGTCCCCATCTGCGATGAGTGGGTGATTCGCAGGAACAGTTAACATCGAATCGGGAACTTGGATCGGATCGGAACGTCTATCGAGTCGGACCGCATCGGCACGGAGTCGAATCGAATCGAACCGCCGCTGCCTGGATGCACAGCCGCGCAGTGTACGCAACGGCCCGTATCGGATCGCCAGAAAATCGACATCGAACTGGGCGTCGCATCGGGACGATCGAATCGTAATGGGTCATGCCTGGGCGGGATGGGCTATCGGGCCACTATCGGCGATGAATGGGTGACTGGTGGCCGATGCATCCCACCTCCTGAGCCGATGCATTCCTAACGTTGCCCCTGCTCCTCTCCAGGAGCCGTGGCACCTCGGCTGGCAGCTCGGAGTCGTCGTCCTCGGAGGCGACGCTGCCGAGGTCGAAGTCGCGCTCGCTGCAAGGGATGGGGAGATACCTACGTCACCGAACTTCGCGCATCGCGCCCCGCGATACGCGATCATCTTCGCGCCAACGCGCCCATGCGCCGCCCCCATGCAGGAGGGCAGCCGCTGTGCCTCGGACGGCGACGCGCGAAGCTCAATCATCGTCGCGCCCCCGCGGGTGACCTAGGATACCCAGACATCGAGCTTCCTGGCAGGAACGAGGACCTGAACGTCTGGCGCCTTGAAGCCATCGATGCGGCCCCAGGAGGCCCCCAAGACCCGAGAGGGCCCCGAAAGGCTCCAGGACACCGCCGGAACCACACCCGAGAGGCTTCCGAAAGGCCTCCCACGAAACCCCCACGACCATCGAAGAGGCATCTGACCTTCGGCCCGTGCGCGGTGGCAGGTTGGGCCTGTCTGTGACCATATGTGGCATCTGCGGGCCAGTTCCGGGCTCCATGATTAGGTCGGGGGTGTCCCCCTGCAGGCGGAGTTTGGACGACAAATCAAAAATAGTCCAACAATGCTCCGAAATGGCCAATAAGATTCTAGCAATCCTCCCCATACGAACTCTTCACTCTTTTTGAATATTCCTCCTGTAGAGGGACACGCCCGACTTCACTCCAGGGCAACAACCACCGGCCCGGGATGAAGAAACAGCCCTGGGGCAGGGGCCGAGGAGCCCAGGGCACCACGCACCGAAGACGTGCGGAGCGCAAGACGTCTGGGGACGGACTGCTCTCTTCGCCGTCCTCGTCTGCTGGGGGCCGTTCCCAAGCTGCGAAGCCGTCCAGGAACGACTCGGGTGTGCGGCTCTTGAGAGGCTCTGGAGTCTGTCGAGAGGCTCTTGGAGGGTCTTACGAGAGTGCTGAGAGACTCCTTGGGGTGAAGAACAAGGCCCCAAAAGGGCCCTTTGGGGCCACTTTTTGACACGAGCTGGCTCCAAAAGGAACCCCAAAGGGCCCCTTTGGGGCACTTTTCTTCACCCCCCCTCTGGGTCACCTCCCATTGCCACCCGCCCGAAGCGTGGCGCGGCGCACCCCTTCCCAGGGACCGGTTTCTCATCCAGCTCTATGTTGCTCCCGTCGTACTTGAGGACCACATCCCAGAAATAATCCCACCAGCCCTCTGGGCGTAGGTGGTCTAGAACAGATCCTCTTCCACCCCTCCCTCTTCCCCCTTGGGGAGGGGTTTACCCCTCCCCCTACCCCCTCCCCTGGACCTGGACGGGGGGGGCCGCTGGTAGTTAGAGCGTCCCAGATGGCCCAAGACGGCTCCAAGAGCGCCTCAGAGAACCCAAGATGAGCTCCAAGATGGCTCAAGATAGCGCAAGATCGCTCGAGATGGCTCCTAAGATGGTTCCAAGAAGCCCAAAGACGGCCCCAAGATAACTCCAAGTGGCCAAACAGCTCCCCAAGGAGGCCCCGAAGAGGCCAAAATCGTCCCAAAACCTAAGGAAAATCAATGATTTTTGCTTTCTCGCCTTTTCGCTTCCGATGGCCATCCGAGGCCTGGAGATGGTTCCAAGATGGCCCAAGAGGGCCCCAAGAGAGCCCCAAAAGAGCCCCAAGACGGCCCCAAGAGCGCCCAAGAGCACTCCAAGAGCGTTCCAAGAGGGGTCCAAGAGGCGATTTTAGGGGCTTCCGAGGGGGGACGCTAATTAAACCCCCCCTCTTGTTTGATCGATCTCCTCCAAGATGGCCCCAAGAAGCGCCCAGGAAGCCCCAAGAGGTCCCAAGATGGCCCCAAAATGGCCCCAAGAGGCCCCCAAGAGGCCCCCCGGAGGCCCCCAAGAGACCCCCAAGAGGCCCCAAGAGCCCCCCCAGATGCACCCAAGATGCTCCAAGAGGCCTCGGCGAGAATGCCTAATCATTGATTCTACACAGGTTTTAGCCACATGGAGGCCTCTTGGGGGGGGGCACGGATTAAGATGACTCCAAGAGCGTCTGGGAGAGCCCAAAATGACCTCCAAGATGGCTCAAGATATCCCAAGATGTCTCATAATGGCTTCCTCTGTGTGCTGCCCACTTCTCTGATCGAGGCAATTCCTCTGGGCATCGTTTCTGGATGGGCTGGTGGGGATTCGCGAAGCGACAACAATTTCGAGCACCCGGAAAAGTATCGAAACAATGTCGAACGAGCATGGCGTATCGCCTTCCGGGGCCGACGCGTGAAAAGCCTCCAGTTTCAGCATCTTCTTGGTGCTCGACAGTCCTTCTGGTGATCAAGGCCAAAGCAGGTTGGAACATCACACATCCCGCTCCTCTTGCTCGGCGGGGAGCAGCCGCCACGCCGAAGACGGCCACGCCCCCTGCGCCCTGCGCCGCTGTTCCTGCGGGAGGAGGCCAGGGACCCGGGCACCCTCGGCGCGCCTGCTCCGCGGGAGCCTGCGCAGTTGGCCCCCGGCGCCGTCCGATCCGTGGGCCTGCCTCGGGACCTGGAGCACGGCTGGGGGACGGGACGTGGATCGGCCGTGGGCCCGATTCGCCCCTCCGCAGGGGAGACAGCAGCGGGAGGGGGAGGAGGGGGACGGAGGACGGAGGAGACGACTGGAGGAGAAGGAGGAGGAGGAGACGTCTGGAGGAGGAGGAGGAGGAGGAGGAGGACAAGGAGGCGAGGGGAGAACGCGGAGGGCGAGGAGCAGGAGGCAGGGGCCGACCGACCCCAGTGCAGGAGCAGGCCGCTTCCCGCGTCGCCGCCCGAGGCTCCCCCAGGCACGGGCATCGTCGCGCGAGCCTGCTGCGCGGGGTCGCCGTCGAGGAGCTGGACTTCGAGCAGCTCCGGGCCCGGTCCTCGCGCCCCTCGTCCGGCAGCGGGCCGGCGCGGGGGAGCGCCTGCAGGGGGGAGTTGCGAGCGAGCGGGCGCCCTCTTCCCCCTCCCCCTCCTCCCCCTCCCCCTCCTCCACCTCCTCCTCCTCCTCCTCCTCCTCCTTCAGGACGAGGTTCCCCTGCGGTGACACGTGCAAGGATCGAGGGAAACGGACCAGATCATATTGCCGGGGCGACGTCCCCTCCCCCGTCGTGCTCTCGTCCACCGTTTGGTTGGATGTGTTGTCTCTCTCTCTCTCTCTCTGTCTCGTTCCTTCGGTTCCTCTCGCTCTCTCCCTCTCTCTCTCTCTCTCCTTTCGGGGGGGCACAAAGGTGGGGTTGGGGCAAGGATTGGAATGAACATCGCTCCGAACGGCCCCTGGAAGAAAGAAACGCGTTGAACGGGAGCATCCAGCTGGGCCGCTCCCCAGCCCCACCCTGGGATAACCCTCCCTCGACGAACCCTCGATCCTTCCCTGCATTACCCTTCTCCGTCTCCCCGTTCAACACGGCCGTTGGTATCGCACCAGGCGGCCTGCTCGCTGGCTGCCAACATCAGCGACGAGTGAGGAGGTGCGGGCTGACTAGCACACCCTCCCTCCACAGCGACGCTCGAGCCACATGACGGCAGAGTGCACATGTTTCATACGGCATGACGGAAGCAAAGATGTTGACGACGTGCAATGGAACACGGGTTGGTGCTTGGGGTAGCCAGTGAAATTCTTCGCTGCCCCTCTCCAACCTCTTCTCTGGGGGGCGATTTTCGTGATTGGTGCAGGACTACGGAGGTCCCCATAGACCTTAGCTGGGGGTCCCGAAGGCCGCAAGAGACCCCCTAGACGGCCAAGAGGGCCCCAAGACGGCCCAAGAGGGCCCCACGACGATCCAAAGTGGCCCAATGGACCCCCAAGACTGCGCCACAGGAACCCAAGAAAAGACGTAAGGAATGGAGGAATACTCTGAAGACGGAAACCAACGCGATACGACGTGGAACAATGTGTGCCACATGTTGCGGCTCTCCCAAGCTTCGGGACAAGAGGTGTCACACGTTACGGCTCCAGCTTCCCGTGCGTCTCCCGAACAATCGCAACCCAAAATGCTGGACTGGCACTGTGGCGGGACTTTCCGCAGGCAACTGGATAAGTCACCACTCAGGAAGCTACTCCTCAGAGCGCAGCCTGTACTAATGTAAGCGCGATGTACCTGCCTAACCATCTGACGAGGGCACATGCGTTGTGAAATGATCGTGCGCAAGGCACGAATGGCCTTGAATACAATTAGAGACCTGGAAATAGTTCATGGCAGAGCTTTGGTTCAGTACGTCTCGAGGACAGACGTCAAAACACATGAAACGAGCGTCTACAATTTGCCACAACACGGTGACGGTGGAGCGAGAGAGAACTAGAGAGAGAGAGAGAAGCAAACAGACGATGAATGACGTGGTGAACACCGCACTGGCAGCGGGAGAGTATTTGCTCTATGGAGCCCAACGGATCGAACTTGAATTGGTGTGCTACTCTCCTGCTCCTGGACACGCGCAATGCGCGCTAGCCGTCTCGCAGGTGTCTTCGGGCTGGATGTGCTACACTGTGGCTTTGTGCCGAAATATGGCGCACTGCACCAAGAATATGCGCAACTCACGTTCGGACTCCAACCCACGCAATATGTGACGCCAATCGATGCTTGGGTCAAGCTCGTGTCCTGCAAGCGTCCTCCCAGGAGCTCAGTGGAGCAAGATAAGAGGCTTATCAAGAAGTCACCGTGTTCAAGGAGGACGAGGATAAATAGAAGGAATCAAGCAACTGGCGGCTCGACGTATTTCGAAACACGGGCACCCTGGTCTCTAGACCCTTGCTTGCACCCGAATGTTCAACGCCGTCCACAACGACTAGAAAAACGAACAACTACCACACCGTCACCGATACCGACCAAGTCGGACAGACCGCAAGCAGCCTAGAAGGGCGCAGCGACGCTGCACAAACACAACAACTGACCGAACCGAACCGACTCGATCCCACTGAACGCAACCGACTGCGACGTAGCCGAACCGACCAAACCGCGGACACCCATGCTTTCCCTCCTGAAAATGTGTTGCCCTTGGTCCCGACGCCCAAGAAACCCAATGCTGGAAACCAGCCCCCCAAGCCAAAACTCAGAGAAACCAGCCGTGCTGCTTGTTTCGAGCCGCAAGATGTCCCCGAACATCATGCGGTGTGATTTTGTTCATAACAAGGGAGGTCTGGACCCCTTCCCCAGAACCAGGCTTTTCATCTCGAATCGTTGTTTGACAGTCACAAGGCCCAGCGATGGCCCCCAGAGGCTGGATGTTGGAAGGAAAAATAGAATCTGCCTCGAGTTGCCCCAAGACATTGAATGCCTAGATGTCTGAGTGGAGGAATCGAGTAGATGACCCGCTGTACCCCCATACACTGCTCCCCGCCCCAACCCTGCGGGCGTCTTGCACGATCACGTCCGCCCCGACGCCCGCGTCGTTGCCCCAGCCTGGCGCTCCGTCTCGTCCTCCCACCTTTGACCTCTTCGCGCTGCTCGAGGTCTTCGGACGTGCTCGTCGGTTCCGAAAGGTGTTCCTGCCTCGGGATGCTTTCCAACAGCTGCAACTCGGCAGGAGCGTTCTTTGAGCAAGGACCGACCGTCCCGGCATTCCTATAGGCCGACCACGAAATGTTCTTAGAACACAGAAACGTTCTAATAACAGGAACCGTGTTCCTAGAACATAAACCCGATGCACTAAAACAAGACAGTTCCTGCCAGAAATAGTATAAGAACATTTCGTGCAGATAACAAAAGGTTCTTATAACATCTTTTGGTAGGCCTGTAGGCGAGCCAGGACGCTTCGCCACTGCTTGAGTTCTGGCGGTCGGTGCCCCGAATCGTCCCGAACGGCCGCCGGAGGCCCTACAACCATGGCCCGAACTCGGGGGCGGCCAAGAGGGGGGCGTCCAAGAGGGGGGGGTGCAAATCATAACTGGCGGCATGTGCGCGGCCCCGGGGGGGGCTAGAGGCGTAATGAAATAAGAAGAGGCGCCATACAATCTGGGGAGATATCATGGGCCACGCCATGATATCCCCCCCCCCAAACATCACCCCCTTCTTTGCCGACCCCGACGAACGCCAGGCCCCTCCTCGCGCCGTGAATAGGGGAACAAACAATGACATAAACATAACAACGCGGAGGTCCGCGCGGATTTCTCTGATCCGCGCTGGACCCCCCTGGCGGCGCCTCCGGCGCCGCCCCTGGCGCGCTCCGCGCGCCAGGGAGGGGGTCCAGCGCCGATCCGGGAAATCCGCGCGGACCTCCGCGTTGTTATGTTTATGTCGTTGTTTGTTCCCTTCGTGAACCAAGACCACGGCGGGGAAGCCTGGGCCGGTTTCGGCCCCGGGACTGCCGGAAGCGGCAAGCTGGCCCACGGGAGGGTGCCCGGGCCCCCGGGGATCCACGCCGTGAAGGGTGGTGGGCCAATTGTCCCCCACCACCACCACCACCAGATGTAGGACGGGAGAGAAGGGAGGAGGAGGAAGTCCTCCTCCTCCTCCTCCTCCTCCTCCTCCTCCCCCTCCCTCTCTTACATACGGTGGTGGTGGTGGTGGTGGAAAATGCGCTCATCAAAGAAGACACGGCGACGGATGCCTGGCAGGCTCGAGGGCGAGAGAGGGTGCGCAGAGCTTCGCCATCTACAGCTACACAACTGCTTTTTCGCTCGGGCGCCTTGAGGCGTCGGCGGCGACCATGCGTCGAGAAGCGTGCCTGGCGGTGGCGCGGAAACCAGCTGCAGGCAGCGTTCATGCCCCTCCCTCCCTCCCTCTCTCGGACCACCCTGCAGGAACGGCAGCAAAACCGTCGATCGCCGCCTCCAGAGTCGGTTTCATGACCCCCCGGGGACATCAGAAACGATCCGGGATGAAACACGGGCCCCGAGGGAAACAATTTAGAGGTCTGGTGGCCCTGCAGAGGGAGACAAAGTAGAGATCTGGGCCGCAGCCACTCTGGGGTGACAATCCACATGCCAACGCGGGGCTGTGGCTAGCGCCGCGTTGCGAGCGTGGCTCCCTCGGACGGGAGCCCGATGATGGTCTGACAGGAGGAGGAGGCTGAGGAGGAGGCGGAGGAGGAGGCGGAGGAGGCGGAGGAGGAGGAGGAGGAGGAGCAGGAGGAGCAGGAGGAGGAGGAGGAGGAGCAGGAGGAGGAGGAGGAGGAGCAGGAGAAGAAGAAGCAGGAGGACGAGGAGGAGGAGGAGAAGGAGGAGCAGGAGGAGGAGGAGGAGGAGCCGACGCTGCAGCGGGCACACCACCTTTTGCCGAGGCAGGACCGCGGCCCCGCGATGCCGCGAGAGCGCCGCAGGCGGGAGTTGTCTGCACACGCCGCCGCGGGCCAGCGCCGCCGATGCAGGAGCGCGGCCCCCGCCTGCAGCGAGAGCGCCGTTCCCTCGGACAAGAGGTTTGAGCAGGGACCGACCGTCCCTGCAATCCGATCGGCCTACGATCAAGAAACATCGACATCCGATCCCTGCAATCCGATCGACATTGTCCTACCAAGAATCAACATCGCCATTGTCCCTGCAATCCGACCAACATCGATCAAAAATCCGATCGGCCTACGATCCGACCGTCCCTGCAATCCGATCGGCCTACCAGGACATTGTCTTAGAAACCAAGAATGTCTGAAGAACCAAGCCGATGTTCCTAGAACAGAATCCCGATGTGTCTAAAAAGACAGTCTCAGCCAGAAACGTTCTGAGAACATTTCGCGCAGACCAAGAAGGTTCTTAGAACATTCGTGGGGGCATATAGGAAAGCCAGAACGCTTCGCCACTGCTCGAGAGATAGGCAGAAAGTCTAAATGTGACGAACCCTACAGCACGAACATCGTGTTCCCTGGTGCGAAAGTATGCGAGAGCGCCGTTGGACGGAGACCCTCTGGATATCATTGGATGTGGTGAGCGCTGCAGCGGGCAAGGGGCCCCCAAGAGGCCCAAAAGAGGCTCCACAAACCACTAACAAAGCCCCAAAGAGATTTCAAAACTGCCTCGGAGAGGCCCCCGAGAGGCCTCCCCCGAGATCCCAACGAACATCCACGAGGCTCCATACGCACACCTCAGGCAAGATGGCGGGATGGGCCGAAGGCGGCTAGATGTAATTGAATCTTGCGAGAGTTGCAGCGGCAATATGGAAAGTCCGAGACCGTTCTGGCCAGGAATCATCTATATCATTGACCGGTACGGGATAATCCTATGTAGACGCACAATGTACGAGGTAGGCGGGCGCAGATAATGGCAGCACCAGGGGCGAAGAGGAGAGCTGTATTCATGTAGTACAATCACACCAGCGCTCTGGGCTGAGGTGGTCTCACGAGTTCTGCCTTCTCTCTTCAACCACTCATCCTCCCCTTCGGGGAGGAGTGCACTCCTTTCCCGTACAACCTCATCTGGGTTTGGACGGGGTTCGGAGGGATGTGCCAGAGCGTTTTTGTTGTCGCAAGATGGCTCCAAGACGGCTCCCGATGCCCCATATGGCCTCAAACTGGTTCAAACTGGCCGAAGATAGCTTATGATAACTTCCTACATACCTCCTGGGTGCGCCAAGAGGGCCATAAGGCGGCCGTGAGTGCTCTCGGAATCTCCCCAGGACCGCCCCAAGAAACACAACTCGTCCAGATACGCGGTGCTTGTTTTCATTGTTTCTGTTTTTGCGCTCTCGCTCTTTCGCTTCAGATGGGCCTCTCAGGCCTCGAGATGACTTGAAGATGGCCCCGAGAGCCCTCGGGTCGGCCCAGGAGGGCCACAGGGCGGCCCCCAGAGCGCCCAAGCTCCCCCCAGGAGCGCCCCACGAGGCAGTCTTGATGTCCCCATGGGCAGGCGCCCAAGTTCGGGCACTTTAGGTCGCAACCAAGAGGCCCTGAGGCATCCCCAAAGAGCCAGCCAAACGAGGGCTCTCAAACCCCCCCACAGCCGCAAGAGGGTCCCAAACTCCTCCACAAAGCCCCAAGATGTATCCAAGACCAAGCGGGTTCCAGAGTTGGCTCCAAGAGGCCAAACAGGGCATTCCCCCTCGCTCCCAGATCTCTCCCTTCATCCTTGTTGCACGCTCTGTTTCCCAGTGTGTCTCTTCCTCCCTTCTCCTGTCGGCTCCTATGGAAATTCTTCTGAATGGGCTGGTTTGTATACGCGAAGCGTTAAGAAATTACGTTAAGAGAGGGGAGGGGCCTGGGCGGGAGGAGAGAAGACAACGACGAGGAAAGGGAAGAAGAGACAACAACGCCAAATCCCCCCCCCTCCGGTGGGCACGATCGACACGTCCCCGTAGCCGTCGACGGAGACGTTGCCTGGGCATACTGGCGTCACCGTTGGCAGGCTGCTGGGCTCTGCCGAGGGCGCGGTCTGCGCCGCCGTGGGCACCGCCGACGTAGACGCTCGTCGTCGGTGGCCCCAGCCGCTCGTCGTTGACGCGGCCGACGCCGTCGTGGACACCGTCGTAGACACTGCTGATGGAGGCTGTGTCGACGTGGACGCTGTCGTTGACATGCTGCGGGTGGGCGTGGACGGTCGGGTCGGTCGAGAGGGGGAACAGCAAAGGGGGGTTAGCCAATCAGCTCACGCATTGACAGCCAGAGGCACCGATGTGTCGAGAGAAGTGGCAGCGGCGGGGCCGAAATCAGCTGCGTGCAGCACCTGAGATGTCGCACCCCCCTTGCCCAAGCCCCTTGTCGTCCGACCCAAGATGATGCAGTCGACAGGGTCTGCGTCGCCGTACTGGTCGCCGTCGTCACTGGTACCGAGACCAGCACTGCGATGGGGGTTGTCGTGGTGCGACGCTCTGTTGTTGTGGGCGGTTTTGTGGACGACGTTCTGGCTGTCGTCGCAGTCACCGTCGTTGAGGTGGCCCGCACCTTCGTGGTGTGCGGCGTCGCGGATGTTAGGGGAACGAACAATGACATAAACATGAAAAATCGGAGGTCCGCGCGGATTTCTCGGATCGGCGCTGGACCCCCCTCCCTGGCGCGCGGAGCGCGCCAAGGGCGGCGCCCGAGGCACCGCCAAGGGGGCCCAGCGCCGATCCGAGAAATCCGCGCGGACCTCAGGAGATACCCTGTTCATGTCACTGTTCGTTCCGCCAGAGGTCGACGCAGTGGAACGCGACCGCGGGGACTCGTCGCCGGAGCGGTGCTCACCAGGCGTGCTGCTGGACGTGGCGGCGCCCGCGCCGTCCTGGAGCGGCGCCGCGGGGGTCCGCGGCGGCGGAGGCCAGGCGGGCCGGGAAGACGTGCCCGCGCCCGCCGCGCGGGCCAGGCCGCGGGCGGCGGCCCGGTGCCTCACGAGAGCAAGGAGAGCCACTGCCACCAGAACTCCATGGAACTCCCTTCCCAGTGGCCACCCCCCCGAGCTGGTGGTAGTGGTTCTTTTGCCTCTGGTGAGTGCCTGGTCACCGAGCGCGCCTGCTCCGCGTCGATGTACTGGATGGAGAAGTCGTAGAACTTGACCTGGGAAGAGGAAACACTGCATACACATAAACTTAAACTGCATGAACATGACCTGTTAAGACAACTGCATAAGCATAAACTATATAAACTTACACTTGACCGAGAAGTCGATGAACTGCATTAGCATAAACTTTCGACGGTCTGCGCGGACTTCTTGGATCTGCGCTGGGTCCCCCCAGCGGCGCCTCCGGTGCCGCGCGCCGAAAGTTCATGTTTATGCGTTTTTTCTTCCTCGATGACCGACTCGGAGCAGGCGTCGGCGGCGTCCTTCTTGCAGGCGCCCTTCATGTCCTTGCCGCGGCCGTCCATCCATAGCATGTCGTTGGCGCTCCAGTAGCTCAGGACCGGGGTCATCCCTGCCGACAGCGCGTCGGTCAAGGCCAACATCCCCTCGTACTGCGGAATGTTCGTCGACACAATGCAGGGGCTGCCTACCTGCGAGAGGGTCACGTTCATAGCCGCAAGAATTCCGGTGGAATCGACGAAGAAATACGCCGATACGTTGAACGCATACCTGGTGTCGATGCACTTGCCGCCGGGACCGTATTCCGCATCCGTCCAGTCCCGCGGGCCGCTCCAATCGTCGCCGCCGCCGCCGTAGCCGCCGCCAAGGCCGCTGGGGTCGTCCCTCGTGTGCAGGGTCGAGTGCCACGAGTGCATGTTGCCCTCCTGGATGTCGATCTCGGCGCACGACTGGCCGCACACACTGTTTGCGTCGCAGTAGTAATCCCCGCACTCAGATGTCTCCTTGTTCTGCCGCATGGACACCAGGTAGAAGGCCGCATTGCAGCCGCAGCCTGCGCCCGACACGTCCGTCGTGTAGCGCAGCCTCTTTCCAAGGAGGTTGGGGGCAATGTACTGATGGCGGTCATAAGCACCCGCAGTGCACGTGTCGGCGAAATACGCCCGGGAGCCCATGTGCGACACCACGTGCCTCCCGTCCTCCACGGCGACCTCTGGAGGATCACACATGAAGCACATCAACGTCCAGAAGTCCGCGCGGATTTCTTGGATCGGCGCTGGACCCACCTCCCTGACGCGCGGAGCGCGCCATGGTGCGGCGCTCCAGGCGCCGCCATATGGGTCCAGCGCCGACCCAAGATACCCGAAAGAGCATTCATAATGCTACAATCGTATTTCGTATTGCTACAACTAGGAACGCCAATGAGGAACGATGGACTCCTGCTGGCAACGGCAAAATCTCGGCAAAGAACTGGCTCCGCAACACGGGTCTAACATGATCTAACCACAGCCCGACAACCAGAGCCCCACATGAGCCCCAGAGTGGTCCTTCTGTCGGCGCCCTCACTGTATGCGTATGACGTATCTCGGTAGCGCGCGTATATACACCAAGATATCTGGGTCCTGTCCAGAGGGGCTCTGCAGAAACACGACAGGACAACGTATGATGTGTCATTGTCCAGCCTGTTCTCCGGGCAACAGGCGTTGCACAAACCAGGCGCACTGTGGTTGGGCCGCCATCTGCTACTAAGCGGTGGGCGGGCACCGAATCGTATGGTAAACATGCTATTGGCTCTGGGTGTTTTCTCTTTCGGACCTCGGCGCCGACCCCCGCTGGCGTGCCCCAACCGGTCGGGACCAGGTCCACCTCGCCGTACCCGACCACCTCGACGGTGCCAGGGCACTCTGGCGTCGGCGGGGCCTCTGGCGGCACCGCTGCAGTGCCTGAAGACGAGCGCTCCTCCTCGCCGGACGGCTCGGCTGTGGTGGCGACGGCAGGGTGCAGCTCCGCAGCGGCTGGGGACGAGGACGTGGCTGACGCGGTTGTGACCACCAGCGCCCGCTCCGCCGTTGTCGAGGGCTCCACCGCTGGAGGCTCGGCGACGGAGGCGGCACGGGTCGTCTGCTGCTCCAGATCGTTGGTCAGAGTCTGGCGAAGAGACAGCGGCGACGTGGTGGAAAACTCGGCGCCGCTGGCGCTGGGCGCCGGGCCCGCGGTGGCGGGCACAGCCGCGGGCGAAGGGAGGCTGCCGACGCCCACCTCTGGTACGGACGGCTGGGAGGCCGAGGCGGCCGCCTCAGCTGCAGCGGAGGCGTCGGCGGGAGCAGTGGCGGCTGCTGGCTGACTGGTGGTGACTTCGGGGCCCGTCCTGTCTGCCATGGGCTCGATGGAGAAGCCGTAGAACTGCACGGAGTCCGCGCAGCTCGCCGTGCTGTCTGCAGCACAAGGCCCCTTGGAGTCAGCGCCCTTCCCGTCCATCCACAACATATCGTCATCGCTCCAGTAGCTGATAGTCGGCGTCATGCCCGCGGAGAGGGCCCGCGACAGCTCGGGCATGCCACCGTACTCGTGAACGCTGAGGGACAGCGTGCACGAGTGGCCCGCCTGCGACAGCACCACCTCCACGGCACGCAAGATTCCCGAGCCGTCCGTGGGGAAAGACGCCGCGACCTCGGCTGCAAGCACAGAGTGACACTAGGCAAGAGAGACCTCTGGCACGCAGCTTCAGGGGGCAGCGTGGGGGAGGGGGGAAACGGGGGGGTATGGCAAGCCCATGCGCGCCAGGTGCTGGGAGGACTCCTGCAAGCCCACACCAGAAGTCACTCTGGCGAAGGGTCACTCTTGCGCGCTGTCGGACCTCGAAGGGGGCTGTGGTGTCAATGCACTTGGCCCCCGGCGCGTACTCGGCCGCACCCCAGTCTCGAGGACCACTCCACGCAGCACCGCCGCCGCCGTAACCCCCGCCAACGCCGCTGGCGTCTCCAGAAGCGTGCAGAGTGGAGTGCCACGAATACTGGTTGGCCTCTTGGATGTCGATCTCCGCGCAGCTGACGCCACATGCGCTGTACGCGTCGCAGTCCGCCACAGTGTCCCCTGGCACGTTTGGGGCGTGCTACAGTACCTGCTCGGCCTTTCTTGGTTTCTGACGTCTTCTGAGGGCCCCCCACCACATCTCCCTGCGTGCCCCCGCCCCTCCCTCTTGCTGCGCAGACGTCCCGACACCACCCAGGCGTCCTTCAACACCGCCAAGATGCCCAGGATCGCGTAGGTGGCCCGGGAAGGTCACCACGGCCGCCAGGATTGCCCAATACTGCCTCAAGAGTGGGCCCAACCAGCCCTCATGAAAACCCATGAGGCGCCCAAGAAGCGCCACGAGGCACTCAATGATGCCCAAGGCGCCTCCAGGAGAGGCCCTACAGCAAGGCGGCACTTCATAGGCAGAGTAACATCGGGTTTCGATCCTGGGTCACCAAACTCCGCACGTCGCGCCCTGCGATGCGCGAGTATCCTCGCGCCATTGCGCTGCCTCCTTCGAGAAGGGCAGCCACTCTGGCCCGGACCGCGAGGTTGCCGAGGTCGAGGTGGCCCTCGCTGTCGGGGAAGGGGAGACACCCACGTCACCCCACTCCGCGCGTCGCGCGCCGCGCTCATCTTCCCGCCCGCGCGCCCTTGCGCTGCCCCCTTCGAGGAGGGCAGCCGCTCTGGCCCCGACCGCGACGCGCGAAGCGCGACCGCCTTCGTGCCCCCGCGGGCGACCCCGTGGCCGATCCGAGGGAGGCGGCAAGGCGCCCCACGGTGGCCCCGAAACTCACCCCCAGAGCGGTTCAAAAACGGCATCCGGCCTGCGTGAACGTCGTGTCGTGCCGACTTCGACGCTGGTCTCTGACACCCCGGGGATCGTTCAACCTTGAACGATCGGCCGTTTCCGAAACGTCAGATCGTTCAACATCGACTGATTCTGTATCCCCCGTGGGCAAGAGTGGCATCTCGTGCGCGGCTTCAGGCGGCAGCGGCGGGGGGGGAGGAGGGAGGGTAGGGCAAACCAATGCGCGCCAGCCAAATGCTGGGAGGACTCCTGTCGGGTCCGCAGCAAAAGTCACTCTGGCCGCTCTGGCCAGGGGTCCCCCTTGCGCGTAGAGGGACCTCGGAAAGGACCACGATGTCAATGCACTTCGCCCACAAACAACGTTCAACGTTGAACGCCGGCGGCAGGGTCGCCGCCGCGTCGACTCGACGCGAACCTGCCGCTGTGCGACCGCTCCAAGGCGGCCAGAAGGCGGGCTCCAAGACGGCACACGACTCGCGCTCGAGGCGGTCAGAGAGAAAGCCTGCCGGGCGCCAGTTTACCCCAGGGCCATAAATTATCACCGCAAGACCTCCCAAGACGGTCGGACCGCCCAAGGACCCCCGAAAAAATGAGTCCCAACGGCGAGGATCCTCACCGCGTTCGAAAGCAACCGACGGGCCCTGCGGGACCTAATTGGGCACAACAGGCCAAGGACGGGGCAGAGCGCGCGGAAACGAAGAGGAGCACGCTCAGAGCATGGCATTGTTGAGCGTGTGTGCCGAACCCCCCCCAACACGCGCCCCGCAGGCTCGAAAAAACCCATGTCACGGCCCTCTGGGGTCACGTGCTAATCATGGTGTTGCGGCCGTCTCTCCACTGGGGAAGCGAGCTGGTACCTGTGACAGCCGTCCGACATCTGGGAAGAGAAGGGGTCATGTTCTAGCTCTCTGGGCCCTGAGGGAGACAACCACCACGTAAGACATCTTTCTTGAGTCTGCGGACGAGCGTCTTACGTGGTTACAGTCTCCCAGAGGCCTGGGGCGAGACCCGGCACAAAATAGAAGTTCGTGGCTTACGGGCGGTTCTAAGATGAACACAAAATAGAGGAATGCGATGGTACGCTAGCAAGACCTGCCGCAGGCACCTGGATAGTAGTCGCCACAAGACGAGGCGTTTGAATTATGGCGCATGGACGTCAAATAAAGAGCGGCATTGCAGCCACATCCGGCTCCCGACAAGTCAGTCACGTACCGCAGGGTCTTGTCAAGCAGGTTGACGGCCAGGTACTCGTCATTGTTGTACACGCCGCCCACGCAACGGTCTGCGAAGTATAGACGGCTGCCAATCCGTGGGGCGACAGTCATCCCGTTCCGAACCTTAGAGGCACAACAATGGCAAACGTTCGGCGGTCCGCGCGGATCTCTTGGATCGGCGCTCACACCCCTGGCATTGCCTCCGGCGCCGACACTAGCGCGCTACGAGCGCCAGGCAGGGAAGGGGGCCACGCCGATCCACGAGCGTCCCGCGGAATTCCGACAACAAATTGTGTCGTGCATCTGTTTGTCGGTGCAGCCACCCCGCTCAGAACCTCCACGAGCTTCGACCCCGCGCCCGGATAGCCCCAGCCGGTGGGCACCATGGCAGCCTGCCCGTAGCCGGCGACCTCCACCGAGCCGGGGCATTCGTCCGCCGCGGGCGCGGCCCCTTCGTCTTCGCAGCCGAGCCGAGCGCTTCTGCAACACCACTCCTTCTTGGCGTCCGACCACCCCTGTTGGGGGAACCACGAAGCACCGATGCCGCCCGAGGTGCCTGCTGACAGGGACTTGGAGGCGAATCCGGCCGTGGCGGCGGGGGCTCTCCAGAACTCGGCGGTGGACAAACCTCCTTCTGGTAAACCACCCTTTAGTGAAAACTGCCTGGGGCCGGAACCGACGGACCTGGACCCGCAAAAAAAACGGCCGCGACGCCCCCGCGCGAACTGAAAACGGCCAGTTCGCTAATCGGCGTGTCAGGGTAGGAGGTCTATCAACCTCCGCAGAACTGGCAGCGGCACCGGTATCTGCTGTTCCACCCTTGGCCTGCTGCCAATTCTGGTAGCCGTGGGTGCAGTCGAAGGGGGGCGACGACACCAGCTCCAGCTCGGCCGCGGCGCCGGTGGCCACCGAGGCGGCGGGGACCGCGGAGGCGGCCGCTGCCCCGCTCGGGGCCTTGAGTTAGGTCGGGCGCGTCCTCCTTCAGGAAGGTGTTGGACGAAATACTTCCAACAGTCCAAATACTACAAAATAGCGAACAGTAGCCAAACATCGTCCCCAGACTATTCTATATGACTATGTTTGAGTGTTCCTCCTGTAGAGGGACGTGCCCGACGTAAGCCTGGAGCTCCTCCACGGTGAAGTCGTAGAACTGGACCGAGCTCGCGCACAGCGCGGAGTCGTCCCAGTCGCAGGGGCCGAGGCCGTCGTTGCCCTTGCCTCTGGAGAGGGAGCCGAAGCAGGCGGACTGGTTCGGAAAGGGGAGGCGGTAACGTCGGCCTGGAGATCCGCGATGCCTGGCCGACAGATCCGCGATCGGCCCCCGGCAGGCGATGCATGGGCCGCCGGGGGGTCGACACATTCCCCCCCCACCCCGCCCTGGACCCCTGACCTGCGACATCGTAACGGGGGAGGAGGAGGAGGAGGAGGAGGAGGAGGAGGAGGAGGAGGAGGAGGAGGAGGAGGAGGAGGAGGAGGAGGAGGAGGAGGAGGAGGAGGAGGAGAGGAGGAGGAGGAGGAGGAGGAGGAGGGGGGAGGGGACCCGCGTTCGTGGCTGGCGGCTCTCCGCTGGCCCGAGGGCCCGAAGCCAGCCCCCGAATGCCCCAATTGCGAAGAACAGGAGCCCGTCGTGATTGTTCGCTGCCCCTCGTTGCCGTCCAGCCACATCAGGTTAGTGTCGCTCCAGTAGCTGACCACCGGCGTCACCCCTGCCGCCAGGACCGCCGACAGCTCCTGCAGGGGGGCATTGGGCGCACCAGATGTGGCAAACGAAGGGCCGACATCTGAAAGGTGGAGGGGAGGGGCGGGAGTGAATGAGGGGGAGGGCGGGAGGAGGAGGAGGAGGAGGAAGAGGAGGAATGAAGGCATGAGGGAGGAGGGAAAAGGAGGGGGAATAACGATACGTATGCCGCAGTTGCGAATAAGAGTGAGGGGTCGGCGGGGACGTTTTCAGTCGGCGAGGCTCTGAAGAAGCCCGCTGCAGGTGTCTAATTCTTATTAATCATAAATGAGCCCGCCGCAGGCGCCGAGTTTTCGTCAAATCAATCTGGGTGGGTCGCGGGGTGGGTCGCGGATGGGTCACGGGTGGGTCGCGGGTGAGTCGCGGGTGGGTCGCGGGGTGGGTCACGGGTGCATCGCGGGTGAGTCGCGGGTGGGTCGCGGGTGGGTCGCGGGCGAGTCGCGGGTGGGTCGCGGGCGGGTCGCGAGCTGGATCGCGGGGGGGACGACGCCAAACAACAACAGCAACAACAACAACAACAACAACAACAACCACAACAACAACAACAACAACAACAACAACAACAACAACAACAGCAGCAGCAGCAGCAACAACAACAACAACACCAACAACAACAACACCAGCAACAACAACGACAACAACAACAACAACAGCAGCAGCAGCAACAACAATAAATTCAAGACCGTTCGCCCTTATATGCTCGAGTGTCCAATAACGCGTATATCCCAAACCCTCGATACCCGCCCTCTTCGTCTTCGATCAAACCCCTTTTGGGGGGTATACCTTTCTTCCCTGCATGCTGGGCCCGGGCAAGCGGCGGGGCGGCCGCGGACCGTCGGCCTGGCCAGCGGCAGTGCTGATCGGCGGGGCGGCCGCGGACCGTCGACCCGACCCCAAGAGGGACGGACAGGGGACCGACCACGACGACGACGACGACGACGACGACGACGACGACGACGACGACGTCGAATGCGACGGCGACGACGATGACGACGACGGCGACGACGAGCGAAAGCAAGAGCCAGAGAGAACGACAGCAGGGCCACGAAGGGCACGAACGAGCGGGGGCCACGAAGGGCAGATAATGCGGGGCCACAGAAGGAAACTATGGGGCCACTGAGGGTAGCAACTTGGCCACGTAGGACTGTAAGGGGGACACAAATGGCGACAGCGGGGCCACGAAGGGCATGCACATGGGGCCACAACGGGCGCGACTCCTGGGTGCCTGGGTGTCGGGAGCGCGGCGCTTGGGTAGACCGCAGGACATTCCAACGCAAGGCCATTCTTCAGTAAATGGCAAGCAAGTCTCCAGCGAGAGCGCGACTCCAGAGCGCCGGGGGAGCGATTCCTGAATACATTGTAAGGAAGTCCCAAGCTGAATAAAATGCGAGGATGTCTCGGGCGGGAGCGGGGGTCCTGGCTAAATTGTAAGGGAGTCTCAGGCGGGAGCCGTTGTTGTTGTAACCCCGGGGCCAGGGGGCCAGTTTGAGCAGGAAGACTTTCCCTGCCAAAAAACAGGGTGCGAGCGTCGAGGGGCACACCTTGATTGAGAAAAAACAATATGCACCGGTGGGGGGACCAACAATAATTATTCTTCAGAAATGAGAATTCAACAGCAACAACAACAACGACGACGACAGCAACAGCAACAAATACAACAAATACAACAACACCAACAACACGACCAACAACAACAACGACGACGACGACAACAACAACACCAACACCACCACCAACAACAACAGCAACAACAACACCAACACCAACACCAACACCAACAACAACAACAACAACAACAACAACAACAGCAACTACACCAACATCAACAACAATAACAACGACAACATCAACATCAACATCAACAACAACAATCATCGTAAGACTGTTCCCTCTCACTGGCACTCGTGTCTTGCATTCTGTATACCCCAACCCTCGATACCCGCCCACTTTGTCTTCGATCGCACCCCCTTTCGGGGGGATACCTCCCTAGTCGGCCACTGACTGACATGCGAAGGACTCTCGGGCGAGAACGCCGTTCCTGAGTTCGGGGGCCTCTCTGGCCAGGGTCTCTCGGAATACATATTGAGAAATATCAAACGGGCACCCTCGTCGCCGTGTCTGGGCCTCCATCAACTTGCCTGACAGACAAGTCTCGAGCGAAAGCGCCACTCTTGGGTTCGGGGGCCTCTGGCAAGGGCCTCTGCGACAACATCTTGAGGAAGCATCGAACGGGAGCCATTGTCGTCGTAGTTGGGTCTCCACCAAGTTGACTGCATCGTGAGCAAGTCTCGAGCGAGAGCGCCGTTCTTGAGTTCGGGGGCTTTCCTGGCCAAGAGCTCTTGGAGTAAATCGTGAGGAGGTATCGAGCAGGAACCCTTTCCGTCATGGCTGGGCCTCCGCCAACTTGACTGAATTGCGAGGACCTCTCGAGCGTGAGCGCCGTTCCTGAGTTCGGGGGCCTCTCTGGCCAGGGTGTCTCGGGGTAAATTGTGAGGAGGTATCGAGCGGGAGCCATTGTTGTCGTAGCCAGGCCTCCAAGGGTCCACATTTAGGCTCAACCCAACGCTCGAACGGGAACCTCGTTTTCAGAGAAAATGTAGCCGGCGTCGAGGCGAGAGCGCGTGGAACCGTTTCCGGAGACAAACATTAAACATTTCTTCAGAAATGAAAACTCAACAACGACAACAACAATCCTATTAAGACTGTTCGCTTTTATCTGCTCGAGTGCCGGTTAACGCGTATGTCCAAAACCCTCGATACCCGCCCTCTTCGTCTTCGATCGTACCCCTTTTCGGGGGTGTACCTTTCTTCCCTGCAGGCGGGGCCCCAGCAAGCGGCGGGGCGCCGCGGACCATCGGCCTGGCCAGCGGCAGCGCTTACTGGCAACCCGACCCCAAGAGGGACGGACAGGGGACGGACCACGACGACGACGACGACGTCGACGACGACGACGGCGGCGACGACGACGACGACGAGCGAAAGCGAGAGAGAGAACGACAGCAGGGCCACGAAGGGCACGAAGTAGGCCACGAAGGGCGACAGCGGGGACACGAAGGGAATGCGTATTGGGTCACGAAGAGCGCGAACGAGCGGGGGCCACGGAGGGCAGATAATGTGGGGCCACAGAATGCAGCGACGGGACTGCTGAGGGTAGTAACTGGGCCACGTAGGACAGCGACGGGGCCTCAAAGGGCGACAGCGGGGCCACGAAGGCATGCACATGGTGCCACGACGGGCGCAAACGAGCGGGGGCCACGAAGGGCATACGTAAATTGGACTGCGGAGGGTAAGGACGGGGCCACTGAGGGCAGCAACGGGGCCATGGAGGGCAGCGAGGGGGCCACGAAGGGCGACAGCGGGGCCACGAAGGGCATGCATGTGGGGCCACTGAGGGCGCGAACGAGCGGGGGCCACGAAGGGTATACAGATATGGGGCCACGAAGGGCAGCGAGGGGG